ATCGCGCCTAAAATTCATGATAATAAGCAGAAATAATTATTTCATTTTATTTTTAAAAAGAATGGATTATTTTTTGAGACAATGAGGTCACTTACACATAAAACTGATAAAATAAAGATTCTAGACAGAAATATCACTATTTATTAAAAACAGACTATTTTTCAGAAAGACGATAACACTTATAAAAAATATTTGAGAGAAAACTTCGATAAAATTCGGTTAGAGAGAGAAGAGCGGTGAAAGCACCATGGGTAAAGTCCTTAGAGGAAGTAAAGCCGAAAGGCTTTTCAGTGACACTCTGTATACCAAAGGACAACTTCTTTTATAAAACATACATGGCTTAACACGCATGATGCAAAACGTCACACATCATTTAAGTGTGTCATGGCTTAACACGCATGATGCAAAACGTCACACATCATTTAAGTGTGTCAATAGAAGGTTAACTGCAATATACGGCACTGCCACCACACAATATTACAATTAAGCAGCATCTTATGGAGGCACGTCAGCTTTACTTACGCTGGCAAGAAGAAAAGTTTTGGACGCTTGCATACAATTATGATAAAAGAGCTGATGGACCAAAGGTCCACCTTAAAGGAATGGACTAGCAAAAAAAAAACTATTTGAAAAATAGTAACTTTGAATTATTAATCAAATATCCAAGAAGCCGGGGTCCATATTTAAATTGAGGGGTAAATTTTTTTTGCGTAAGAGAAAGATGGTCCCCGTTGTGCATTTTGCCACCATGAATTATCGTTTTAAATATTTCATTATGTATTTTATTTTATTTGATTTATTTATTTATTTTTATTGTATTTATTCTATTAAAACTATTATTATTATTATTATTATTATTTTATTTTTTTTTAAAACAAAATTCCAGGACTATTACATCCAGCTTTTTGCATATATATATATGAAAAATATTCATGTTAGCCCAAGAGCTAACAGGAAGATATGAACCCAACGGCCCCGATTGAATCTAGACCGATCAGACGGTCATGACCTCATTTCGTGTTTGAATTTTAATTTTTTCTTTTAAAAATCTAAATCATTTGAAATTTTAGACGTGTGTTCTTCTCATCAAGCCACACCTAATAAAAATATAAATAAATAATCCAAAAAAATAAATTGATCAAAATACCCCCAAAACTTTACGGGATATTTTGGTCAATTTTTTCATGTAAAATATTTTTTTGATATTTTTTAAAGTTTCACCTTTTTTTTTTTAACACATGCCTAAAATTTCAAGTGATTTGGATTTGTGGAAAACAAATTAAAATTCAAACACTATTAAACATCTGTGATCGTCAGATCGGCCTAGATTCAATCTGGATCATTGAGCTCATATCTTCCTCTTAACCCTTGAGGTAAGGGTAGCATATTGTATTTTAGGGGACAATTTGAAATTTAATCAAAGGGTTTAGGTAAAATATTAAATAGTTATCTTGTGTGCATTTTGATAAATTTCCCTTTAAATAACATCCAATGTTGGTAGCATTGGACTAAATCGAACCAGCTGGTGAGGGAATTGATTCAATTGGATCTGCCAAACTGGACCAATTCACCAAACTGCCAATAAAAGAAATTAAATAATTTATAAAATAATAAAATAAGGACAACATATAAAAAGATATAGAAACTTATGGAAAAATAAAAAACCTAAAAACTTAAGAAAACTTCAAAAAATATTATAAATAAATAAGGAACCATTTATTCTACTAGAAGCCCTATGCAAAGTATCATAACTAAAATATTAAGGACAGTTTCTATGCGGTCAGGCCTCATATTGGAGAAATGCAAGTATGGAAATAAAATATATTCTTAAAATAGAATTTGATCTTAATTTTTAGAGAATATAAAATCTTTAACAAGAAGATCATGAATATCAAAAAAAAAAAATTAGAAATAATAATTATATTAAAAAAACATTTGGACATTTAGTTACACTTGTTTTAGATGGATGACTTATTGCATCCATCTTTAAAATGGATGTTTTATACCTGTGGACCACAAAAATGTAGTCCAGCCCGCATGAAACAATTTTCCAAATATTAAATAGTTAAACCGGTTCAATTGGACTAGCCGAACCGGACCGATTCACCAACTTGCCTGTATTAGAAATTAAATAAATAATAAAATAGTAAATTAAGGACATCATAAGAAAAATAAAGAAACTTATGGAAAAATAAAAAATCTAAAATTTAAGAAAAATTCAAAAAAAACTTACAAACAAATATTGGAAAAAATATTACAAACAAATATTGGGGTTTTCTTCTTGCAATAAACAATAACAATCTAGGAAAAAGTAACGATATAAGAAACACAAACTTCTGGTTATTTTTTTAGTTGGTACTGATCATCATAAAAAAGAATAAAGTATAAGGAACCATTTATTCTACTAGAAGCACTATGCAATGTATCATATCTAAAATACGTACGTTATGTGAACTTTAAATTTTTTTATTGTGATCATTTTTACCTGGATAATTGGTTTGGCCATTAATAAACTTGGTTGAGGTTCCAACTAGCACAGCTTATCATTACGACGTACATGATCAAATTTAAGCAAATGAATATCTATATTTCTTCCAACCGTTTCAGCCATCGTTCTATCCTTTTCACCCCTAAAATTTATTATTTCTACCCCAAAAGAAAGAGCTAAAAAACTATTCAAATTATATAACCTTAATTTTGTTTTTGTATTTTCTGAAATAAATTTTAAAATATTAAAGTAAATAGAAATATAACCTCACCATGAACTTGAAGCTCCTCCAGAATTTCCCAAGAAGTTCACATTGTTAGTGAGCAAGGTGACGCAATTGAAAATTACCCAGCACCAACAACTCGCAAATAAAACCACGTTTTAGTGATAGAAATAAAAAACCTAAAAAAAATCGGCAAAAATGTGGAAGTTTGAGTCCTCTATCACGCACCACCACCACCACCAAATCACATAAAATAAAAACCAGAAACCCCTCTCTCTAAAAAAAACTTCTTTTTTTTTCGTTCAACAAAAAAATCTGTCCCTTATTAGTAAGGATCTTTAGAAAAGTTATCTAGTCAATAACACATTTGTAAATAATATCCATCCTAATCAAACTCTAAATCTTCCTGTATTTCTAAATTTTATATTAACTTATCCGAACCAGACTTCCAATTTGTGAGGGTCCCCTATCCGCACTACAGAGTTCAACGGAAACAATCAAAGATGACTTCGTCTTTTGTGACTTTTGGCTTGTTTGATGTCGTGTGCATGTTCTCCTTTGCGATTTAACATTTTTCCTTGTAATTATTAATAAAAACAAACAGGTAAGGAAAAAAATTATTTATTTTTCTGTAAGTAAAAGTTCGTCTTATATTTTGTTTTAACTTAAACATCACGGAAAGACGTAGAGGATAATGATTCCATAAGCTGCCAGGCTCATCCTAATGATGATGCATTTGTTTTCTTGGAAGACGCAGTTTTAAATATGAGGAGTGCAGTTAGGTGTAGAGGTACAGTGCCTTTCAAATTTTATGGTGTATATAATTTTGATGTAAAATTTTATTAGAATTATTTTAAAATCTATTTTTATATCTCATTATAAAATTTTATATTTTAAAAATAGTTAAAGTCAAGTAGATATATAGACGCACGAAAATCTTGAAATAGACGGTGTAAATAATATGTTGTAATATGTATTATTTTTTAGATTTAAAATTTTTTTATTTTTTATAGTCATACATACATGTTGATGTCGATGTCAAGATGATTAATCAAAAAGTTTTTCAAAATAAAAATTATATTTTTGTATAGATTTTTGAAAGTTGTCCGTAGTTCTACATCGTAAGATAGTATTCTTATATAAAAAAATTTTAAATACGAGACGTGAATACCACGGTATCGAATTTTATTTGAAGTCTTTACAATACTGACAAGACATTGTTTTCAAAATTGTCTTCCAAAAACACAAACGTGTCCTAAAGGACTTAATGACCCACCCGGCATGCATGAAACAATGAGAAGCCGGATGGCCCCATCGAATAGCCAACAGAGTTCAAGTGGGCAGGTCAAATCTGGTTGCCCACCTTGGAAAAAACTTAACCGGGCCCACTAGAGCCCCGAGGCTTACGTCATGGGCCATGGCTAGCTCTATGGAGCCTTAGCCTTTGCCCGTGTTTTTTTATCGAATTCCTCAACATGATTTAAATCAAGCGAGGGTTAAGCCACCTGGTCAACGCCTTAGGCAGGCTTGGGTGCTAAAGGATTTAGTCACCCACCCGGCCTACACGAAACAATGGCAAGCCCGATGCCCATAATGAAGCATCGACTAGCCAGTGGAAGTCACTTTAAACTTTCCATTTTAAATTTTTAGCCGTGGCAATGAGCCAGATGGGCAGGTTTAATCTGGTTGGCCAAGTTTTGAAAAAGCAGAGCTTGGCCCATCAGAGCCCTGGGCTTGGGTCATGATTATGGCTAGGCTTACAGAGCCCTTGGCCCTAACCTGTGCTTTTTTTTATTTAGTTCAATCACACCAGCCCTGACATGACCCAAATCAGGTCAGGGCTAGGCCACCTAGTCAGTGCCTCCGGCAAGCTTTGGACCAGGGATATGCACCCGGGGCTGGCTCTCTAGTGACCTAAGTCTAGGCCCGGCCTTTTGCCAGCACTACGTATAAATTTCACATAAATCAAATGCAAACAAATAAATAATAATCAAACGGTGCTCATGAACGCTCCCATGATTTCTCCATATAGAAATTTCATTGATAAAAAAACTGTCCAAAATGAGCAAAATTTGATTTTTTAACTCAATTTTGGCCCCATCAAATATTCAAGCTACCTTACAATCTATTTTTCATAAGACCTCTAATTTCAGCTGATTTTGCACGAATTTCTCCCAAATTCGTTCAAATTTTCATCCAATATTCGCTGAAATTGAGCTAAAATTCACCTGTATCGTCCACCGGCGAAAACAAAAGCTCTCTACCCTTTATTCGACGAACCATCGGAGCCTCAATTCAATCACCGGAATTCACTTTCCCGGTCATTTTCCGGCGACACTTCCCCCTAGACAATCCCATAAAGTTGCATAATTCGCCGGATTTCTATAAAATCGCCGGAAAGTTAACCATAAACAGAGGGGTGGACCCTGGTATTTCTTATATGTGAATCCCCCATCATCATAACCTTAAATTCTTCAAAATCAACCTGGCCATCTCCATTCCTATCAACCCCTCTTATCATTGATACACAGTCGTGAATGGTGGATTTGTAATCGCCCAAACCCCTCAAAACTCTCTGCAACTCTTTAGCTGAAATGAGCCCATTCTTATCTCTATCGAAAATGGAGAAAGCTTCCATTAAATCCTCTTTAGTGCCGAAACCTCCACCAACTTTAGCAGTGATCTCCAAGAATTCCGTAAGGTCGATGAATCCGTCGCCATTGTCGTCAGCCTCCCTTAGCATTTCTCTGGCGGCAGACGAAGCGGACGAGCGGGGATGGCCTAACCGACGGAGGAGATGGCGGAGCTCGGTGGAGGAGATCTTACCGTCGCCGTTAGCATCGATGAGAGAGAAAACGTGCTCGAGTTGCTGGGCTATTTCCAGAGAGGGAAGGGGGATAGAGAGATCATTGATGGCCTTGGTTGTTTTGTGATATGCGATTTGTTTCATGAGTTTTAATGTGTTGGTTGAGGACCTCACCAATCGGTTTAGGGTTCGGAGTAAGCGTCGACAAGAGGGAGACGACATTTTGAGTAGAGAGAGAGAGAGAGAGAGAGAGGCTAATGTCAACACAGCTCCTGTTGAGAGTTGCAGGTGAACAGCAGAGGTCTACATCTCCGATCGTAAATTCTACGAGACAGATTACAACTTGCGAGAGACGGGGAGAGAATTATATTACAAGTCGAGAGACGAGAGATTTTTTTTTTTTTTTTTTTTTAATAAGAGAGTGGTGGAGATATACACAGCCTTGTGGAAGAGAGAGGAAAAGAGATCTTTTTAGACAGAGATTTGGGGGGTGTTGATACTGTTTCGACGGTGATGCTCTAGGATTAAAAAGTTTTAAAATTAATTGGAGACAAAATATATAGACAGTAAATTTAGTAATTTCAAAAAAATTTGGTGTACAAAGTAGAGATTTACAATTAGTATAGGAAAGTTGTGAGACCAGCTTTTGTAAATAAAATGTTGAGTGGTCAAGAAATAACATATTTATAAGATGAATGCAATTGAGAGATAGATTGTAATACGATAAAAATAAATAAAATTTAAAAATAAATATATTTTAAAAAAATTTAAATATGACACTAATACATAATAAGAAAAAAAATAAAACTTGTCCGTATGCAATAGATATACGGTACAAATTAATAGAACATTCGTTAAAAAAAATGCGAGTTGGATGAAGTGAAAGGCTAAAACTCGAATGAAAGGATAAGGATCCAAAAACTAAAAGCGAAAACGAAGAAAGTGAAAGAGGTGAGGTTATCGGAGGGAGGTCTGGTGGAACTTAGTATGATGATTGGCACAATACAATAATCGAAAGGAGATATGCATGGTTTGAATTGCATGTGAAAATGCATGTGCCACGCCTTCGCCAATTCGTTTTTGTCACCTTATAATAATTCCTCGCGTACTCCACACCACCAACCAATAAATATATTTATGATACTGCGCTCTTTGGATGTTTCATATTTTTACTACTTGGAATTTTAAATTTCTCTTTAATACTGACGTGGAATTAATGTGTTTTTCATTTTTTTTTTTTTCTTGCGCCCGTGCCCCTCTCTAAAGGACGAGATTTATTAAGGCATCATTTTATAATTAAAAGTGATTTACGTACTGATCCGCCAAGTGATTTACAAATAAGATCCGCCAATCTATATTTTTTAAAAAAATTACCTTTTGGGAAACTCGAATTTTGAGTTTTTATTTAGTTTTTCGTTAGTAGGGAACTAACTTAAAGTTTGGAGTACTACCCTACTAACAAAAGAAAAAAAATTAAAATTCTAGTTGATCAAGAGACAATTTAAATAAATAAATAAAAAAGAGGCTAGTTGACCGATTTTCTTTATAATTTCTGCCTATAAATAGAGCATTTTGTAGTTTACCTAAAATTTTAGTGTCCTTATGTAAATCAGTCAATAATTAAAGGTGTACCATTAAAAATGTATATTCATATATGAAAAAATATACAAACAGACCATTTATCTTTTATACAAAAAGGTCACAAGCAATTTTGTCTCTTAAATTTCAAAATGGGTTGTTATAAGAGTGTTATTGAATAGACATAGAATTTCAATAAAAAATTCTCGGACTTTGTCACTCGCCCAAAACTATTCAATTTGATGTCTAATGAATAAGAATAATTGTGACCATGTAATAAAGATTAATAGTCTCTTTGTGGACAGTTTTAGTGTCAAAAAACCTTGAAATAACATGAAAATCGGACTTGAGATGTACCATTGCTAATATCCGCTACTGATTATTCCAAAGCCCGAGCCCAATTCTGAAGCACAACTCAAATTTACTGTAAGGACTTTAGCACCTCGATCAATTTTTTTTTTTTCATATTTTTTTTCTTGACCATCCATGTAGAATCAGCAAGCCAACCCTGGAATAAGAGAGCCGAGTCTGATTCGTGAGTGGCCGAGTCGACGCCCAATTCCAGTTTTTAAAACAGTAGGCAGTTTGAAGCTTGAGGTCACCCGAGCTTGCATCTTTAATTTATTTTGTATAAAATTCAACTTTTGGCCCCTTCTCCGATTGATAATTGGGATGATGATTTTGTCAAGCTAATTATTGAATATGTGTGGCCCCCTTTTCGTATGCACCATTCCTATGGCTCTATGCTGTCATAGCTTCTTACAATAGTTAGGTTCGCATTTATTTTTTGTTGTTTGCCTGGTACTAAGTCTCGTTGATTCTTTTCAATTTGGTTTTATGGTATCTTTTGTGGTCCAAAAGTGGGGCTAATTTATGAGAAATTTATCAAAATGTAATTTATTTTTCAGCTATTTAACAGTATATCCGTTTCTATTATGAAAAATATTTATACAAGGTTGACACCCTAAAATGTAGAAATAAGGTGCACCTCTAAAATCCTTCAAAAAAAAAAGTTGTTTTGATGTTGGAAAAGCATCTAATTGAGCATCTCGACTTCCCGATGTATATATATGGAGAAAAAAAAAGATTTCAAGTTCTAAAAATAGTACATCTTGCAACACATAATCTGGACCATCCATTTTCAAATTTTCATGTTTATTGATCTACTTGATTTGAACCATTTTTGAAATTTAAAATTTTATAATTAGAAATAAAATTAGATCCTCACATCATCCTAAGAATTTATGACACCAAAATTGTATCACTTGATAAAGTTTGAGGGTACACCTTAATTTGATTATTAAAGGTTGCAACCCTATACAAACCACACCCTTCTATTATTTCTACTCAAAACCATGTGTATTTTAATGGATATTTTGAAATTAAATCAAAACAAAAGGTAAAATATAAAGAGACCGTTTACTTTTGGTGCAAAGTAGTCACAATTAATCTTGACCACTGGATGGGAAATTGAGTGAGTACACTTATTTCATTGATTAAGGTAAAAATTCAAAAGAAATTTTTTCGAACTTCGTAACACATCCAAGCTATCAGATTTCACATCCGATGGTTGTAAATAATTTGTGACCTCTCTATACCAAAAATAAATGGTCTATTGTATACAATCCCAATAGTTAATATCTTAAACACATTTTGATGAGTTTTCCTTAATTTATTTGATAGGAAGCTTCTAAGATGTATAGAGAAAAAGAAGGCACTCTTTTGTCATGAATAAATTAAAGTTTAGGAGCAATTACTATAAGATAGAATTACATAGTAGTTACATGAATATGAAGGCCCCACATGTCAATGTGCTATTATCAAATATCTCTGGCTACTAGATTCTACTTGTCACATGGCGGATGCGTTTCCCTGCATACCGCCATCCACTCCAATTTTCTTTATAATCAGGTGACATAAGCAGGCCCCCAAACGATGATCTTTTATGTTTTTTTTGTACTCCTAAGGAATCTATGCTTAGTTACCTCTTTCCCATTTGGGTGAGATCTTCACACTCCATAGGGTAACTTTGCCTCACTGCATAATAGTAATATTTTTCTTTAACCGAAAGGTCTCTTCCAAATAGATTTTTTTTTAGCAGTGTTATCAAGATCGGATCGATCACAAAACCAATTAAAGTTTTGGTCCAGTCAAAATCAATCCAATCGCTAGTTAGATCAGATGGACCAGATTTTAGAATAAAAGATAGAAAAATAGATTTAATATTTAAAAATAACTTGCCTGACTTTTTTAACTAGTCAAATTGACTGGTCCGATCAACCAAAACCAGTCAAATATAAGTTTTTTTAACAATTTTTGAACAAATCCAATTTTTACCTTGAAATCCTAAACACCGATCGACAATCCAACCGATTGGTCCACCGGTTTGGTCGGGTCTTAATAACTACGTTTTTGAGCGAATTCACCACTGTGTTCACCAAGATCTTGACCCCGAATTGGGCCCAACATTCAAAAGTGACATGCTCTAATAACTAGAAGTCATTCACCCCCAATATTGCATGGATGGGCACCACTGCAATTTATTTGATAGAAGTAGCCAAGGAAACCCCAAAAAAAGATAGATTTGGCTTCATAAGCATATGACCCAACCAAGCTCTTGGTTAAATAACATGTGAACCAACCAGGCATGTCTTCCAATCCAAGCATTGAGTGCTATGTTAGGCTACTTAGCTCATCTTTCTCTCTTCCCTAAATTTCTTGGAAGATTGTCATTGGTCCAAGAAAAATAGAGGGACTTAAAGATTGAACAACTTATTCATGGAGTCTGTGGACCCCACTAGTAAGTTTTCACTAGCTAAAGCTACTATATTAAGGTAACTAATGGGCTTAAAGATTGTTCAGCAACAGTAGTTTCTAGATACTTGTAGTGAATTTGTTGATCAATGATCCCCGTAATATTTCAAAGAAAAAAAAAAAAAAATTATTGGGCGAATCTTACCTACTTTTGGATGAGTTCTTCAAGGACTTGATTATTAGATATACTTTATTTTCATATTTTTTGGATTTTTTTAAATATTCCCAATGATAAATATGTTTTTTTTTTTTTTACAATACTTGTTTAAGCTTATTTGGACTCCTTAAAGTTGTTCTTTATTTTATGGAAAAGTCTTCCCAACCCCTATAAAGTTGTTCTTTATTTTATGGAAAAGTCTTCCCAACGCCTATAGGCGAAAATGAACAGTGATTTTTTCTACCCTCAACACCGTCTAAAGTTCATCGTACGGTCACGATTGCCCGGTAGTGTTTTATTTTTCATTGTTTTCCTACAAAACAAAATAATCTAAAATTTGGATGGTGTATACATCTTAGTGAGACACACTTAATAAAAATATATAAATAAATAAATTATTTTGAGGGTATTTTGGTTAATTTTTTCATGCAAAAATCACTGTTTATTTTCACCTAGACATTTTGTAGTATCTTTTTTCTTTTCTTTTTTTTTTTCATTTCTTTTTTTTTAAAAAAAAACTCTCTTTTCTTCTCAATCTATTGAGAGATTTTCAGCCGTATGCAGAACTCGCCAAATAACTCGCCTCGATGTGAGTTCCTAGCCGAGGAGAATCTGGGCACATTTAATAGGCTCATTTCTTAATAAATGATCCGTCCAAATGGGCCTTTAGTTTTCCCCATCACCCGTGTGAAAGACCCTATTAGTTACCATATAGGCATATATACAAGACACATTTTCTAGGTTGGAGAGATATAAATATGTTTGTAATAGAAAAAGTCAGTGTGTACAATAAACTTGTGTCAAACCAAGCAAAGTACCACCACCAAAACATGTAATTGGTTTGGCACACATCCTCGAATAGTTAGGTCTGGTATTTATTTTAGTAGAAGTGTTTGGTGGGTCCGTGGACTCATGGGTTTGCTCCAATTTTTAGGAGTTCAGGACTCGAAACACATCTCAAA